ACTACAACTATTTTCTGCTAGTCTGTAGCTTGCCATTTCATTTTATTAATGACATTTTAATAAGCAGGAGGTTTTCGTTTTGATGAAGTCCAATGTATTTCATTTTTCTCTTTTATGTTTAGTGTTTTTTGTGTGATGACTGTCTGTCTACACTCAAATCTAGGAGGATATTTTCTTATGTTTTCTTCTAAACAGTTTACAGTTTTAATCTTTAAATTTAGAGCTACACTCCATACCCAATTAATTTTTGTGAGATTGAGGTTCATATTTTCCACACATTTGCTCAGTTGTTTCAGGACAACTTGCTGAAAAGATTTATTTCCATTGAATTGATTGAGTGCATGTTTTAAAATCAAGTAACCTTATGTGTATGAGTCTATTTCTGAACACTCTATGTTTTCCATTGATTAATATTTCTGTCATTGTGCCAATGCCAAACTGTCTTGATTATCATAACCTTATAGTAAGTTTGAAATCAAGTGCTCTGTGTCCTCCTTATTTGTTCTACTTTTTTCAAAGTTGTTTTGACTATTCTGAGTTCTTTGGGTTTCCACATAAATTTTTTTTTTTTTTTTTTTTTTTTTTTTGCGGTACGCGGGCCTCTCACTGTTGTGGCCTCTCCCGTTGCGGAGCACAGGCTCCAGACGCGTAGACACAGCGGCCATGGCTCACGGGCCCAGCCGCTCCACGGCATGTGGGATCTTCCCGGACCGGGGCACGAACCCATGTCCCCTGCATCGGCAGGCGGCCGCTCAACCACTGCGCCACCAGGGAAGCCCTCCACATAAATTTTGGAATCAGCTTGTCGACTTATTTTAAATCCTGCTGAGATTTTGATTAAAATTACATACACCAATTTGGGGGAAATTTCCATTTTTCAGCACTGAGTTTGCTAATCCATGAATGCAGCTCTCTATTTATTTAGATCTCCTTTAATACCTCTCAGGAATGTTTTGTAATTTCCATTGCAAAGGCCTTAAACATCTTTTATTAATTTTATTTCTAAGCATTTTATGTTTTTATTGCTATCATAAGTGGAGCTATTACTTTTTAAATTTATTTTCCAATTTTTGGACACTAGTCTATAGAAATATAATTGACTTTTGTATACCGACCTTAGTGAATTCACTATATTCGTTCCTGTGATTGTGTTGGAGAGCCTTTATAGTTTTCCATGTGAACAAACATGTCTGCAAGTAAAGAAAGTCTTATTTTCTTTCTTTTCAAACTGGTGATTTTTATTTGTTTCTCTTGCCTTATGCACCGGCTAGAACCTCCAGTGCACTGTTGAATAAAAGCTGTGAAAAATAGATATTCCTGCCTTGTCTTTACCTTAGGAGAAAACTGTTCACTAGTTCACCATTAGGTATGTTATTAACTATAGACCTTTTGTAAATGCCTTTTATCAGGTTGAGGATGTGTCTGCTGAGAGTTTTATCATAAATGGATGTTGAATTTTGTCATATGCTTTTTCTAATCACTTGAGTTGATCAGATTATTTATGCCTTTTATTCTGTTCATGTGGTGAATTGTATTGATTGATCTTTGATTGTTGAACCTACCTTGATTTCCTGCATGCATCCCACTTTATCATTATGTGTTAATATCAATGTATTAACATTTTCTTGAGGAACATTAATTTGTAAATTTCTTTTCTGTAATATTTTTGCCAGCTTTCTGTACCAGATTTGAGCTAACTTCATAAAATAAGTTGGGAGGCGTTCATTTCTCCTCTATTTTCTGAAAGAATTTGTGTAGGAGTGGCACTATTTTGTATATATATGATAGAATTCACTAGCTTTATCTGGGCATAAAGTTTTCTTTGTAGGAAAGCTTATTAATAATAAATTGAACTTCTTTGAAAGAAAGGGAACTATTGAAACATTTAATTTCTTCCTTATTTTCACTTTTGGGCACTATTTCTTTTTAGATTACTCTAACTGTTGCAATATTCAACCATTTCTTAGAGTTTGCTTAGAGTTAATGTACTAGTTCATGTAAAATATAAGAAACTTGCAACAATATAGTTGTACATTATATAGTTATATATATAGTTATCACATTCTACCCTTTGTACTACTGTCATATGTTTTATATCTACATATATTGGGTTTTGGGGGGCTTTTTTTGGCTGCATGGGGTCTTCGTTGCTGTGCATGGACTTTCTCTAGTTGTGGAGAGCGGGGGCTACTCTTCATTGCGGTGTGCAGGCTTCTCGTTGCAGTGGCCTCTCTTGTTGCGGAGCATGGGCTCTAGGCGCGTGGGCTGCAGTAGTTGTGCCACATGGGTTCAGTAGTTGTGGCTCGTGGGCTCTAGAGCACAGGCTCAGTAGTTGTGGCTCACGAGCTTAGTTGCTCCACAGCAGGTGGGATCTTCCCAGACTAGAGCCCAATCTTTGTCCCCTGCATTGGTAGGCAGATGCTTAACCACTGTGCCACCAGGGAAGTCCCTACATATACTGTAAATGCCACAATAACGCTACAGTATTTGCTTTAAACAATCTTTATCTTTAAAGAATTTAAGAGAAGAAAATATGTATTGGCTTCTTTATTTATTCTGGTAAACCTAATTGCTTCCTGTAGATCTGAAATTCCACCTATTATTATCTCCCTTTGGTCTAAAGTACTTCCTAAAACAAATTATCTCAATTTTTATATAGCTGGAAATATCCTTATTTTGCCTTCATTATTGAAGAATATTTTGTAGTGTAAGGATTCAAAGTGGACATGTTTTTCCCCTTCCAGAGTTTTAAATATATTATTCCAGTGTCTTCTCATTCACATAATTTCTGATGAGAAGTGATACTTTTCTCTGGATGCTTTCAAGATTTCTTATTTGCCTTTGCTTTTCAGCCATTTGACTATGATGTACCTAGGTGTGGTTTCCTTTGTATTTATCCTGCTTGGATTGGCTGAGTTTTTTAAACCTAAAAGTTGATATTTTTTGCTACATTTGGGAAATTTGAGAACATTATTTCTTTAAATATTTTTTAGCCAAATTCTTTCTTTTTGTTCTGGAACTCTAATTGCATATTTATTTATCCCCTTGATATTGTCCCACAGGTCAATAAGACTTTTTCTGTTGTTTTAGATTAAATAATTTCTATTGATCTATCTTCAGCTTCACCAACCTTTTCTTCTGCCTTCTTCTATCTGCTATTAAGTCCATCCCATACATTCAGTACATTTTTTAAAACTTTAAATTTGTACTTGTCAGTTATAGTATTTTCATTTTGTTCTCTTTTGTAGTTTCCACTTCTCGACTAAGATTCTGCATTCATTCAATAATTATGACCATATTTTGCTTAACATATTTATAAAAGCTGTTGAAAAGTTCTTTTCTGCTAGTTCCAACATCCAGGTCCTCTTGGCGTCAGTTTCCATTGACTGCTTTTTATCTTCATCATTTGTCACATTTTTCTATTTCTGCTCTTTTGTAGCAGCTTTTGAATGTAGGAAGGACACTATGGATAATAGGGTGCTTTGTTGATTGATTGATTGATTGGATTCTGATAACTTCCTCTGGCAAGTGTTAATTTTAACTCTGTTACTCAGTTAACTTGGCTGGATTAATCTCCAAATTCTTCTTTTGAGGCAGCACCAAAAATATCTTCTTAGTTCCTTCTAGAGCCATCTAGCTATTGCCATGGTTTCCTTGGATTTTCCTCCACATCTGCACAATTAAGGGGACATATAATAATTTAAGCAGAGTTTATATGCAGACTTTGTGTCTTCTATGTCTAAAGTTTCCTCATTTCTAGGCTTTTCTCCCTTAAAAATACCCAGCCACTCAGGCCAACCGAAACTCTGTCCTCTAACTTCTCAAGACAGTAAAACTGTGGCCTTCTGTTAGATTCTAAATGCCCATCATAATGTGACCTGAGAAGTGCCTTCAGATAAAACAAAACAAGAGCTTCCCTGGTGGCGCAGTGGTTGAGAGTCCGCCTGCCGATGCAGGGGACACGGGTTCGTACCCCGGTCCAGGAGGATCCCACATGCCGCAGAGTGTCTGGGCCCGTGAGCCATGGCCGCTGAGCCTGCGCATTCTGATCCTGTACTCCGCAACGGGAGAGGCCACAACAGTGAGAAGCCCGCGTACCGAAAAAAAAATACAACCTAGAAACAAGGATCTAATCCACCCTTTTCTAAAGAATTAAATTCCCCTAGTGTCTGCCTGCTTTTGGTTCTTCTCCAATGCTTTTAAATAGTATTTTCAAAAATATCTTGCTCAAAGTTTTTGGTAGTCATATGTTGATGGTTAGTGTGATATAAGCTACTCTGCCACTACTGGAACTAAAACATACTTTCTTTTTAAAATAGGAATTTTTTTTAAAGAGTACAATTTGGAGCTTTTGATGTGGTCGCATAGTAGGCAACATTCTTTTTTCTTCAGTTTCCTGAAAGCCTGATTTTAATTGGGAATAGGAGGTCAGAGAAGTGACAGAATTCAATTCCTAGAACATTTAATCTAAGGAACATGGGGAGAAGGGTTGATTTTAAAGTCTGTTAATGAGTTAAAAGTGGAACTCAGCCAAAATTACCTATGAAAATTCCCAAATTACCCATTAAGTGTATATGGTTTTATGTATATAATCCTTTAGACTATTTTATTATTTCCTTTAACCCTTTTTTGGTCACTATTTCTTTACAGGCTTTATTTTTTCAATTTATTCCTGCAGGATATCAAGAAAAGAAATTACCTTCCCACCTAAAGAAAGTACTTATCTTCTAACAATCAGTTATTACAAGATAAGAATTTTCCATTATTTTCATGAACATGCTTTAACTATTTCAGGTTCAATTGCATCTAATGCCTGAGTAAATCAATGCTGATTATAATGGCAGCAAAAAGCTATTTTATTTTAATTCTCTCTCTCTCAAATATGCATCTACCCTATGGACAAATTTAAAGCCACACAAATGAAAAGTGGATGTGATGCTATTCCTTCCATACAGAAACTCCTACTTGAATTAAGACAAATTCCTTTTTTGTTTCTACAGTGGGGCCCTTTTGGAGGTAGATTGCCTGAGTTTTAATAAACTGCAAGGGATGTATCTCATCAAGACAAAGAAATTCTTACTGATTGGAGACAGTAAAATATGTGTGAAGCTTGGAAGAAAAAGCATGACTTGCAAAAAAATGAACATAGTCAAAATAGGTAAGAAGTTGTATATGGGGGTATGTCGCCATTTTTCAGATATCGGAAGACAGACATCTGTGTCTGAACTTTCTGTATGTTAAAGTAGACAAATAATGAAAACTGTTTACAATAGAAAATATCAAATTCTCTAATGCATATAATTTCTTAAGAGAAATGAAAGTTTGAAGCTTATGCTATTTATTCTTACTGTGAGAGAACTCTGAGGGTCTTCAAACTGAGCTATGAAAAAGGGTGATTGACACTTACAGATTGCAGGAAGAGTTCATCTGTGTGAAGTGTCTAACTGGAGCTGGGCCTCCTGTACTCCACCCACACACGTCTTTTCCTTCCTCACCTTACCTTTTCCTGAATTCCTTGTAATCTTCTCCCCACACACCTATCTGTGAGTGTATTTAGCAAAATTATCAAGTTATTTTTAAAAGTAAATATGCCTTCTGTATTAGAGTTATCCAGAGGAAACAGAGCCAATAGGATAGATGGATATACATAGATACATAGATGAGAGATAGATAGAGAAAAAGAGATTCATTTTAAGGAATTGACTGTCATGATTTTAGGGGCTGGCAAGTCTGAAATCTGTAGGGCAAGCCAGAAGGCTAGAAATTCAGGTAAGAGTGGATATAGTGGTTTTGAGTCCAAATTCCAGAGGGCAGACCAGGCAGTCTGGAAACTCAAGCAGCATTTTTATGTTGCATTCTTAAGACAAAATTGCTTCTTCTTCAGGGAATCTCAGTGTCTGCTTTGAAGGCCTTCATCTGATTGAATGAGGCCTACCACATTTTAGAGAGTAATTATTTTACTCAAAGTCTCCTGATTTAAATGTTAGTCATGTCTTAAAAAAAAATACCTTTAGATTAGTGTTTAGCCAAACAACTGGGGACCATAGCCTAACCAAGTTGACACATGAAATTACCATCACACCTTCCTAGGAGACTTACTATTGAGGAGTGATGCAGTCATATCTGATTTGGCCTAGAATATACATATTAAGTATAATATGTATGTAGAATATACATATTACACTTGGTCAGAAAAGTGATAATTATTATATTCCCAAAAAAGTACAATTTGAATTGCTAAATTTATCTATATGTTTCCCTTGGTTCTATATAATATACATAATAATATGAATCATGGATTTCAGTAAATCCCTTCGATTATCAGGTTGTAAGTCAGTATTAATTACCAAGTCACCATTCGGTTACCAAGCAAATAAAATGATCAGAGAGACTGGGAATATAGACACAAAAAGTTTTCCCATTACTTACAGATTTATCACACTGAGATAAGAAAGGTTCTTTTTCAAAACCTCGGAGATATCCTGGTAGAGGGGAACGTCTAAGCCAGTTATGGTATGTCAGTGCAATGGAATCCTAACTTCTTGTATTCATTCTACCTATGGAGGTTTACAAGTGAAACCATATATGTAGGGAGAAAACTGTTCAAAGTGATTGAAGAGGTGCATTCTCTTTCTGGTTTTAAATACTATGGCTCTGTCTCTCCCTCTTCTCAACCGCCTCCCTTCACCCTCCTAAAAGAAAATTAAAGGTAAGAGAGCAATACTCATTAGAGGTGACAAAGAGAAACTTGGAATCTAGTCTCAGTTTTGTACCACTAATAGAGTAAAGGGCAAAAGCAGAAGTTCCATGTTTGAACAGTCATCTTGTAGAAAAAGCAGAGGGAGAGTAGAAAAGAGACATTAGTCACAACCAGTGTGAGTGCTTAGGGGCGGTGGCACGACAGGCTATCTCTGAGTATTGGGACACAAGCAAGCTGAGTTTTGGTCATTTGGAGACTAGGCTGCTATGGATGGGTGTTCAGTTTGTGCACAGGGCACTATATCTAGAAGTCCATCATTTACATTGCAAATATGTATTTACTCTCGGAGAGCAGGCAGAGAGGGCAGAGACTCAGTCCTGTGACAGAGTCCTGAAGCCCCAGGGGAGAGCCCCTTCTTACAAAAACCCACCCCAGCACAGAGGGCCCACATGCATCTTAGTGCGTGAGCATGTGAACACTCAGGGCACGCCCACAGGCTCTTGGTGGCAGTCTGCCCCATCAGACTCTCCAGATCTCATATGCCCAGTGCTCTTCGAAGTCCACATTCTGTACCACCCAGCAGATGGAAAACCTGACCGGCCGCCTCCTCTGAGGGACCAGAGGAGAGACAGGGTGTGCACTCTGCTGGTAGCATAGGTCTACAAAGGGGTGCTGTGAGCACCTCGGGGCTCTGGAAAGCACGCCTGGGCAAGCAGCATGAGCGGTGGTGGAGACATGTCTCCCAGTAGCATCGTCTTCTGGTTCCTGATGCTACAGTTCATTAATAGAACTGTCATTTAACTAAATTGACATTAGACGCTGCTGATTAAACCCCAGAGCCAAAGGTCCCCTGCAGCCACCAATCCCCTCACTCACAACTCCTTCTTTAGGTGTGGGTCCCCAGTAAGCCTGGAGGGGCAGCTTCTGTCTCCCCCCTTTTCTTGTCAGGGTAAATTCATATAATAGTTCAAGTTGTGCCAAGAATAAATTAACTTTTTAAGATGTTGCTTGAGGAATGAGCACCTTTTTCTAAGTTGCTCAAATGTACCATTGGGTTTAGAAGCAGAACTGTGTGGGGAGAGCCTGCACAAGCCAGTAGGAGAGAGCTGAGCACAGAAATAAAAGCTCAGTGAAGGAGAGAGAATTCATTTGTATCACTTTTTAGATTCTGCATATAAGTGATATCATATGATATTTGTCTTTCTCTGTCTGGCTTACTTCACTTAGTATGATCATCTCCAAGTCCATCCATGTTGCTGCAAATGGCATTATTTCACTCTTTTTAATAGCTGAGTAATATTCCATTGTATATATATATAGCACATCTTCTTTATCCACTCCTCTGTCAACTGACAGTTAGGTTACTTCCACGTTTTGGCTATTGTAAGCAGTGCTACAATGAACATTGGGGTGCATGTATCCTTTTGAAGCATGTTTTTCTCCAGATATATGCCCAGGAGTGGGATTGCTGGATCATATGGTAGCTCTGTTTTTAGTTTTTTAGGGAACCTCCATACTGTTCTCCATACAAATGAACTTATTTACAAACCAGAAACAGACAGGATAAACTTAGAGGATGAACTTATGGTTACCGGGGGGAAGGGGAGGGGAGAGGGATAGATTGGGAGTTTGGAATTGACATGTACACACTGCTATATTTAAAATAGATAACCAACAAGGACCTACTGTATAAATAAATAAATTTTTAAAAAAATAAATAAATGAAGGAGAGTGAGACTCAGGATCAGACAGAATTGGATTTACATCTTATTAACTCATCCTATGGGGGCTGAACTTAGCTAATTAACCCCTCAGACTCAGTTTCCTCATCAGTACACTGGCAATGAGTGAGTGTTGATGCAAGATGGCATAAGTTAAGAGCTTGGCACTTAGTAAGTATGTAATCAACATTCGTCTGTTCTTCCCTGAATTCTTCCATTATTGAGAGGCCTTGGGAGATGGGGATGCGGCAAGGGATTCAGTGTCAAAGGTTTTGTTGAGAATGTGAATCTTAATCATTTCCTTGAATGGCAGGTAGAAACTGGCTTGGCTGGTGTCAAAGGACTGACAGTCTTCTCTGTTTCTCTACACCCACTACCTTTCCTCCTGCTTCCCTTTGGGGTATCTTCCCTATTTATAGTGCATCTAAGGGTAAAAAAAGGTAAACTTCCCCTTGCAGAAGACATCCAAGGGTAAAGAAAGAAGCACTTCCTCTTTTTCAGTACCTCTGGGGGAATCAAGGCAGGAGACATTTAGGCAGCCACCACTACGAGCAAGTGATTATGACAAGGGGGCCAAACTTCACCACGTGAGCTCATTTTACTGGGTCAGCAAGTCAGTCTTAAAGCCCAGATCATATAGCCTGGAATCCAGCTCAGTCTACTGCGTGAAGTTGTGATGAACACTCCCTCATTAACAATAGGTTTAGGTTAGATTTTAACCTATGCATCTCCCAATCTCTGTCTGAGATCAGCCATGCAAACAAGTGGCTGCCCCATCCCTAGACAACTAAGTTCCCAGGCTTTAGTGAAAGAACAACAAAGAGGCCAAGACAGGGAAACCCCAAGTCAAGGGTGGGAGGTGTCCTGACACACATGTGCTCATAGGATTTCAGTACCTTTCTCCGGGTTTGTTCTGCCTGAAATAATACCTTTCTCCCTCCCACAGTATTTCATAGATGGTGCCTCTGATCCTAGGCAGGTAGACAGGAGGAAGAAGCCAGAGAGGAGTTTAGAGCTAAAGCAAACAAGACTGAAGGAGCAGGCAACCTGCAGTTACACCAGAAGTTACGAGCCAGGGCCAGGATGCAGATCCCCAGTTTCCATGTAACTGAGATGAGGTATAAGGCTCCCGGTTTTAGCAGAATAATGAAGACTCAAAGTTCAAATTCTCCTGCTTCAGGGCTAGTTAGTAACAAGTCCTCTAGTACTCAAAAGGAGAAGAGAATATGTTTTCTACGTAAAATTAGCACTAGTTACTGTAACCAATATGCCCTAAAACATATATCTCCACCACCATAAGTTTATTTCTTGCTCATGTAAGAGCCAAAATGGGTGTTTCTAACCTGTGGGTGGTGCTCCTTCAAGCAACATTCAGGGCTCCTCCATCCTGGGGCTCCATTCTCTTCAACGTATGGCTCCAAGTGGCAGAAGGGGACCAAGCATGGGGTCACACATGTGGGGTTTCTGGGCCAGGATGAGAGGCGGTGCACATCACTTCCACCCACATCCTTCACAAGAACACACCCAACTGCAAGGGAGGCTGGGAAATGTAGTCAGGCTTTGAACCGGGAAGAAGAAGAAATGGTTTTTACTGACCCAGAAAAGGAATGTGATTTTCAGAGTAGATGAACTTTAAAAATTATGATTATTTCCTTGACTATCCCATAGAATGACTTCATTTCTTTTTCCTTTTCAGTTAAACCTGAGGCTCCTTTTGACGTAAGAGTCATCTATCGCAAGGGAGCAAATGACTTTGAGGTGACATTTAATACATCGCACTTACAAAAGAAGTATGTGAAAGAATTAATGCATGAGGTAGCCTACCGTCAGGAAAAAAATGAAAATGATTGGATGGTATGTAGGTCAACTACATTTATACGTTATAAAATTTATGAAGATGTATATAAAAATATCTTAATGGGGCTTCCCTGGTGTCGCAGTGATTGAGAGTCCGCCTGCCGATGCAGGGGACACGGGTTCGTGCCCCGGTCCGGGAAGATCCCACATGCCGCGGAGTGGCTGGGCCCATGAGCCATGCCGCTGAGCCTGTGCGTCCGGAGCCTGTGCTCCGCAACGGGAGAGGCCACAACAGTGAGAGGCCCACGTACCGCAAAAAAAATTAGAAATTAGGCTTAAATTACCACACATACAACTGACAGATGGTTAATATGCTTAAAATATAAAAAGGTCTTATGAATCATTAAGAAAAGGATAAATATGACAATAGAAAAATTAGCAAGAAAGTTGGAAATGTCTCACAAAATAGAAAATATGTAATTTCAATAAGTATAAAAAACTAATAATCAAATAAATCTAAATGTACATAACCATAGGTATTACTTTTTACCCATCAAATTGATAGAGTACTTTTTCCTCCTAAGGATGACACACATTATTGGAGAGACTGTGTCTCTATATTGCTATTCATGATGTAGAATTATATCTTTCCAGAGGAAAATGATTCTTGCTCACTAACCTTACCATTCCCTTTCATCTCTCCATGGGATGTGAAATGGGAGGGAAAGAAAAAGAAGAGATTAGACTGTGGAAAGGAAGGCGGGAGCCTGGGAGTGATTTATACCCTCCCTGACTGGGAGAGCCCAACCCACCTGAATAAAGAAAAAGACCCATTTTATCACTGCCCTCCTTGACCACTTGCAGCATTGTTTGTGAGTTCACACACACTGCCCCAATTCTGCTTCCAAACCCTCCACGTCAGAGCTCCTTTTTCTAACAAATATGAGAGAACCTCCAGAGAATGCCCACATGACTAAAGACACTCAACTTGAAATGATTTGGGAGATGTGAGCACCGCCTCTTTTTCCACCTTAAAAATGTAGTGGCCTTTTTTTGCTCTTCAGCACATGAATTTATCCAGTACAAAGTTGATGCTCCTGCAGAGAAAGCTACAACCCAATGCAATGTATGAGATTAAAGTTCGGTCCATCCCTAACACCAACTATTTTGAAGGCTTCTGGAGTGAATGGAGTCCAAGTTTCCACTTCAGAACACCAGAGACCAATGGCCCAGGTGAGAAGTGACTGGAGTCTGTTCCCCCCCCACCCATAATGCTTTGCATGTCAAAGTCTGTGAGAGACAGTGAGAGCCAGAGAGATGAAACAAACCCACAAGTTAGAACTCCCCAGAGGGCATTCTTACACTTTCTTTGAAAAATGACCTGCCATCTTTGCCCCTTTTGTGAAGAACGAAGAAGGGGTGGGAGTAGGGCTCTTAGTCACTGATCAGCTGATGTAGGCTGTCTGGACTTTACTGTCCTGGGCACTCCTGGGAGCCACTAGTTCTGAACAAAATTCCCACCCACTACCTCTAGTTTACCAATTCAGACTGGGATCCCAATGTCCGGTCCCGCCAAGTCCCTCTAGGGAATACCATAGAGGGTGGCAGATGGGTAGGCTGGTGTGGCTTTCCCATGTCTCCTTTTCTAGAATAATGAAGATATCCTGGGGGTCTAGGAACTGAGAACAGCCAGAAGAACCAAAGGGCATAGCTCAGGCAGACCACTGGGGACCCAGAGCACCCCACATATACCTTCCCTTTGGTGGATGCATGGAACAGCTCTGCTGCACCGGCCTCCCGTCCTTACCCTAGGAATTGCTGAGGCTGCAGGGTAGAGCATCTCTCATCATTCCCCTGCTCAGCTTCTCTCTCTTGGTGGTGGAAGTTAGGCAGGGGTACTGTTGTCTTTAATGTTAGGTCACTTTTAAATTTCAAGTGACAGATGTTCTGGACCTGGTCACCTAAGTCGGTGCTGAAACCGTGTACAAGCTCCTGTGTCTCTGTCTTTTGAAGTGAAAGGCTGACTCAAGAGTTAATGATTGAGAAATGTGAAGGTGTAGAAACAAAGAATAGCTATTGGGCTGGGGAACTGGTAACAATTTATAGATTATAAATCCGCCACATCTGCCACCGAACTCATGGTTCCCTGAGAGATACAGATAAAGGCCTGACACACATTCCTAAGTTGTTTTTAACAGGAAGCACACCCCTACCAGATGAAAACTGCTGACCACAAGAACGTAGACCCTAGACTGTTTTGAACCAGAAGGTTGATGATGCTGACTCCCTGTTTCCTCCCCACCAACCAATCAGAAGAATGTCCACAAGCTGACTACGCCCTGCCCCTTGAACACTATAAGATTCCTCACTACCCCCTCCAGGGTGGGTCACGTAGTCTTGAGGGCATTAGCCCGCTGTGGCCCCATTTGCTTGGCAAAGCAATGAAAGCTACTCTTTTCTATTTCACCCAAAACTCTGTCTCCACGTTTCTATTCAGCACTGGTGAACAGAGGCTGTTTCAGCAACACTGTCACTTACTGAAGCCCAAATTCCCCCATAAAAGCTAGTACATCATCCTGTTTACTGAAAAGCAACTTTCACGAAATAATAAATGGGCCCAAGTTACTAAATAAACTCAAAGCATCCTGAAAGTCTCCCCCACGGCACGCTTCATGATTGCTAACCAAGATCTATCCTTGCCTTCCAGGGGAGATGGATCCTGTTTTACTAATTATCATCATTCTGAGTTTCTTCTCTGTGGCTCTGATGGTCGTTCTGGCCTGTGTGTTGTGGGAAAAAAGGTGAATTTCTTTAACTAATCAAGAGAGTGTTTATGTGGTATTCCAGACAGTCAGAGCTCTAGTCCTGTTTATTGATGAGAAAACTGCAAAGGGGAATAAGGCATTTCAGGAATTGCAGGGCCCTATATCCCTCTTCATCCTCAGGCACTGATGAATTTCCATAGTTAATTTCACAAGAGGTAAAAATATATAAACTGAACATAGGGCAAATCCTCCCCGCAAACCTTTCCTCCCAAGTGTCCTCAGTGGGTAAGAGCCATCCCCCCAGAATGCCTGGGCAGCTGGAGGGACCCATGGGAAATGCAGAATGTTTCTGAAGTCTGAGCTTTCAGCATACAAATTCATGAGACTTTTGCATTCTACCCCATGATAGGGCCATGCTTGTTTCATCATTTAGACACACTTCAGTAGAGTTATTAATGTTTTAGGAAGATGCCCTCAACACAGGGTCACATACCCGCTGCCCCCCAAGATACTCCAGTTTCTAAAGTACCACCCTAAAGCAATTTCCCTGTGTAACTTTGAAAGTATGTCTCACTTCCACCAAAATCAGAGCAGAGGAGTGGCTGCCAATGAAGAGAAAAGAAAGAAGACAAAGCCTATTTTGGGGAGTAGATGAACAGATCAGATTTTAGTTTCATAGCTACATCATGGCCAAGACTTATTGTTCCTTTTCTCCAGGGCCCTTGGCCAGGGGTGTATCATTGTTGTCTGGTTCACAGAGTAGATCAGTGACAATGGTCTCTGGTCCAACCCCTCCATGGACTGGTGGGACTCTGAGGCCCAGAGAAAGCAAGTCACTTGTCCAAGATCATCCACCTAGTTGTGGCAGAGCCAAGGCTAGAAATCTGCTCTTCTGACTCCTGGCTCAGAGTCAGTGGGAAGGTCTACTGTGCCTGCTCCCTCCACCATTCATTACATCTTCAATGTCCTTTTATTTCAGAATCAAGCCTATCATATGGCCCAGTCTCCCTGATCATAAGAAGACTCTGGAACAACTGTGCAAGAAACCAAAAAAAGTGAGTGCGTCTGGTGCTTCCATCACTATGTCAGAGGCATCCCGGCAGCCGAGAATGATGTTGCAGGATGAGGAATGGCTGAACCTCAAGTGTTGGTCTTTCGTGTATCACATAACTAGGGTCCCTCATAAGATGCCAGCTGCAGGTTCCTGGAGGTGGGAAACTAAAATGAAATACAAGTCTCAGAATTTCCCAGACTTCCCCAGGGATACTTCAGACCCTGAAGTATCACAGCACCTCCAGAGGCAGAGAGTCAACTAGAACATGTGGGTAATTCTCTGACATACCCTGGTAAATCCCTGCTGGAAAGTTCTTGAGCTCTTTTCCTGAACAGAACATTTGCTGATGTGTCTCTCTGGTGCAGTCTTAATGCCTCTCTTTTTTTTTTTTTTTTTTTTTTTTTTTTTGGTGCAGAATTTGAATGTGAGTTTCAATCCTGAAAGTTTCCTGGACTGCCAGATTCATAAGGTGGATGGCATTCAAGCTAGAGACGAAGCAGAAGGCTTTCTGCAAGATCCTCTTCCTCCACAGCTAGAGGAGACTGAGAAGCAGAGGCTCGGAGGGGGTATGCAGGGCCCCAACTGGCCCTCCGAGCATGTAGGCATCAGCCCAAAAACTTTCAGAGGAGAGTCATCATTCAGGTGCCTGGCTGGGAACATCAGTGTGTGTGATGCCCCTGGGCTCCCCTTCTCCAGGTCCCCAGATTGCAAGGAAGGTGGCAAGAATGGGCCTCTCCTGTACCAAGACCTGCTGCTTGGCCCTGGAACTACAAACAGCACCCTGCCCCCTCTGTTTCCATTCCAACCCGGAACCCTGACATTGAACCCTGCTGCCCAGGGACAGTCCATCCTCACTTCCTTGGGATCAAGTCAAGAAGAAGCCTATGTCACCATGTCCAGCTTCTACCAAAACCAGTGAATTGCAAGAAATCGATGGCCAGAACCATCATGATGAACAGAGATAACCGAGTCCCACTCTCGCTCACAGCACAAAGAAGACAAAATGAAAGCAGCCCCTCGACGTGGTCCACAGGATTCTGAAACAGTGTTTTGACCACACCTCCCTGCTTCAGTGGCAAGAGACAGGAGGCAGGGGCATTCTGCTTCAGGCAATGCAATGATTCATTTATTTCAGAAAGGAAAAAAAGCAGAAAAGAGTGAAAGAAAGGGTGGAGGAAAAGATGGAAGGGTGGGGAGGGCAAAAGGGAGCAACGGAAGAAAGAAGGAGAGGAGAATTAGAATAAGAGATACCATTATCAGGAATCACTATGTACAATGCTGTGCTACACGCTCTACACATCTTTTCGCACCGCATCCTCACAATAATCCTGGGAGGTGGGTGCGATTAGTATCATTCTCTATGTTACAGATGATGAAACTGTAGCTTAAATTAGCTTATCCATGCTCCCCACTCAGCAAGGAATAGAATCAAGATTTGCTGCCCAGGAGTCTAACTGCATCTCCTCCAAGTCATGTGCCTTCCTCTTAACTAGGGACTGTCCCACTCTCGAGCGCCAAACCTCACTTAGAACAGGGTGACTCTATAATGTATTGTCCAAACTGGGTCACTTTTGCAAGTGAAAGGGGAAGTTATAAATAATCACTCCAGGACAACAAGCGTAAACCGGGACAGTCCCAGGCAAATGGGGACCTGTGGTCACCCGAACTGAAAAGGCTAGAAGGAAGACGGGGGCGGGAGGAATGGCCTCATGACATATGAGGCACCACGGCCAGCCATGTCTACAGAGAGTGGAGAAGGTAAGACGGAGCCACAAAGACCATTTTATTCCATTTTTCTGAAAAAGTGCTCAAGAGAGAATCAACTAGAAGCCTGGAATTTCTATTTTTAGTTATCCACTTGCTCCTCCCACCCAGGGGCATCCATTGATGATGGAAGAACTTGTTACTGACTCAGGACACTGGTGCGTTCGAGCCGTAAGCCAGGACATAATGTTTCTATATGTGTAGAGACTTCCCAACCCAAATCCATACACCATCCCGATTTCTATCACCATGAATGTTGCCACAAAACTTCAGGGAGAAGGAATTACAAGCCCATGCAGTGAGTGAGTCGACTGTGGCCATTTTCCCGAAGATATAGAGAACATCTGACATGGGTCCTCTTGCATTTCTTGGTCCAGATAAATTTTTAAAGGCTGTCTCAAGCCAAATCAAGGCAGCGAAGCAGTCTCAGCTCAGGGCAGTGCAGCCGATGCCTCTACACAGGCCCCCATACCATCCCCATCGCCACTCCGGGTGTACACAGATCAGGAAGGACATCAGTCCAGGATTGATATTGTTGTTTGGGAGTTTGCCCTCATTGTTGTTATTTATGTTTTGCCTTTTTTCTTTGTTGTGTTTTTAGTTTGTTTGGGGGGAGATTAAGTGCTTTTAATTTTTAAAATTTTCTTTTTGGTTTTATTTTGTGTCTGTGAAGTGAGTTTTAAATAGTGGACTAATAGACCTTATCTGTTGCCTTAGAGACCTAATGATAATCAGACTAGTTCAGTGTTGTACCTTCCAGTGCTTTTCTCTGAATCACTAGCAATGACTATAGTCCCATAATCCCTTAGATTTGCTCAGCACTTTTGTGATTTTTCAAAGCACCTCTGTAAGCATTACCCCTTCCGTTTTCTTGACAAGTATTTATGGAAAGCTTGCTCTGTGCCAACCACAGCAGTAGGCTGGGAGGTCTAAGACAAACAAGGTTGGGACCCTGCCCTCATAAAGTGAAAAATCTAATGAAAGGTAGCTTGCAAACAAATCATTATAACACAAAATGCGGTCATGGAGGCATGTTCGAAGCTCCCTGCTGGAAGGCAGGCAGGGAAAATGCCACAAGAGTGGTACACATCTTTGTGGAAGAAAAGCAGAACCTGCCTGGCGTGAGAGCAGAAGACATTTTCCACCAGGCAGAGGTCGGTTATTTACCTTCTGTAGAAACGTGAGCCAAGTCTCGAGGAAGAGGTCATCACAGGAAACCTCACGCCCAGCCCAGCCCTCTTGCATCTTATTCATAGAGGTCCTATGAAGTACTTACCATTATTATCTTTGCCTGATGTGAAAATGGGGACACAGACAAGACAGGTAAGTTACTCGACCTTACATGCTAAGTCAGGACTGGAAGCTGTAAGTTTGTATCCCTCATATACATAAACAATCTCTCAAAGAAAGGAGGGGATAGGTCTCAAGGAAGATCAAGGTCCCTCCAGCTTTAAAATCCTGTTAGCATAGATTATCATTTGAATTCAGTGTGTGAATGTCTGTCTGTTACCGGAGGTATGTAAAATCTGTGTATCATACTCTTATAATCATAACTGCTGCTAATGCCTGATTATATACTGTATAATGTATGATTACAAAGTTGTTCTGACCAACCCTCTTTGGGATTTCATTAAGAAAGAAAAACTCCTGGTCAGAGACAGTGCATAAATTAGAGATGTAAACTGCTAGTTCTATATGGTGTGAAATGAAAAGAAAACTGATAAGTAATTTGGTCAATTAAACAACCACGTCTGAATATAGGGCACCCTGGCTTATTCTACTGACTTTCTACCAGCCTTTGCCTCTCCCTTCATTCTCATTTTCAGGGGAATTTGCTTCAGAAAAGCCAAGTGTGGGCTCTTTCAGATGTGCATGCTTGTGTTTTCAGAGCATTTGTAGAGAGGCTACAAGACTTAGAATTGGTCAGGAAGGCAGTGAGCATACGTGATCAGACAGCTGGAATGATGGAGATCAGATGGCATTTCTGCCAGTCCCGTTGTTTCTCTTCGGGGTTATTCTTTAAAATATCCATTGTTCACTACACCTAAAGTCTCTGATTTGGCTGTGTACTTCCACATGCATTACAAACATTTTGCAGTGCTGCTAAGTGTATTATAAGTATCCAATGTGTGTTACAGTCATATATTTAATTAAACACTATGGAACTCTCTGTGACTGCACTTGTCTTCTATGAGAAATACGAATAAAAGGATATCCAAAATGGGCCATGCTTCTCCTCAGCCACTGGAAACATCCCGGTGTCATTTGCTGTTACTTTATGGATTGAGATTTTCAGAGGAAACTTTTTTCCTCAATTAAGTAATTCATTTGCAAATTAACGAATTAGCAATTCATTGAGGATCTGCTCTGCATTACTTTGCACTAAGCTGGGCGCTGGGGTGATGGAGATGAGATGGTGTTAGACCTTCGC